AATGGTCTAACAAATTGTGGTACATGAATAGAGCAGTATAGTTATTTCTTTGATAAAGAATTAAAGGATATGAGCAATCATATGAAAGAAATGGATTTTTCTACAAAGAGTATATGAATACCCAGAAAAAAATGAAATAAAAGAATGCTGTGATAGAACCAGACTATCCCTATTTTCCCACAAGAGGATTAGTTTTCCTAAAATTGAACCTGAGCAGGCATTAGGCCTGACCTCAAAAAATGCTCCAATCAGAGGCGTCAAACACCAGCACCACAACACTCCAGATGCATTAAAATGCAATTATGAAACATTTAACAAAATAAACTACAATAAAACATAGATGATGTTAATATGCATTTCCTAAGTCAACACATGACTGCAGGATGCTTACATACGTTTAGTGACCCCATTCTATCCAAGCTTAAGACCACTGCTCTAAATCACTGATATCTAGAGAAATATTAATCAAGATTACTCTGGCTTCACCTCACCTCCAGTAAACTCTTAAAAATGACAGAAGATGGGAAAAGACAATGTTGAAGAGAATGTGGAAAAGAAAGGCATGTTAACACACTGTTGGTGAAGCTGTGAAGTGGTACAAGTACTCTGGAAAGCAACGTGGAACTATGAGAAAAAAGTAACAGATCCATAAAACTTCTAACCCACACATTCCACTGGCTAGGCATATGACCCAAAAAGGCTAATGATAAAAAGAAAGACCCAGTCAAGATGACTGCCTAAACAGAAGCAGATATATTCTATATGCCCAGCTCCCACAAACCCGCTGCAGCAAAAACTTTTAGATTTGTACCCAAAGATAATTAATCAAGATATTCAATGAGAAACTACTCATTGACTTCTTCCACCCCAGAACGACACAAAAACTGACAAGACAGGTTAGCGACACTTGTGTATTCTACAAAGCACTGTGTCCAGAAGCAGCAAGAGTGGATGGCTCCACTAAGAAAGTTCCAAGGTGGGGACCCTGGAAGCCCCAGGGAATGGCAGCCACCAGAAGAGACCAACTCACTGTGAAAGCAAGGCTCAGACTAGGACACTCCAAGAAGGAACTGTTAAGATGATGCAGTACTAACCTTCTAATAGAGAAGAAGCAAGTGTTCCTTCAGAATCTTATGTCCTCAAAGGATACCAAGGAAATTAAATAAGAAAAACAGAAGACCTTGAGCACAAATAGGTTCCATTCTGATGGTTTTAAAGAGGGAAAAGTGGACAGGGGATCATGTTAGCCTTTTTCATGTTTTTTTTGTTGGGCTGCTTTTGCTAGACTATTTTTTCTCCCCTCTTTATTCTTTATTATTAAGGGAAGGGGGAGATGGGAAGATACACTGGGAAATGTAATTGATGTTAAACAAAAGATATCTTTAAAATAATATTTGTAATAATGATCCTGAATCACTGACAAAAGGTGCATTATACTAAGTATAAATACATTTTGGTTAAGGTAGGGAGTGTACAACGATTTTAGACAGATTTTTAAACTGAAAATGATTTTAAATGGTTCTTAAAGACTCAATTACTAGAAAATTTACTTTAACCACAATACATACATATTCCAATGCCAAAAACTTTAATGGTCCCTAAGAGATAACACTTAGAAACTGGGAGGGTGATACAAATGAATATAAACTCTAAATTGATACTATAGGGACATAGTCATATTAAGTGAAATACATCTTTTATTATGTGTTCCTTTAAATTATAAAGGCACAGTTGTTTGTTTTTGTTTTGTTTAGGCAATTGGAGTTAAGTGACTTGCCCAGGATCACACACCTAGTAAGTGTCAAGTGTTTGGTCTGAAGTCAAATTTGAACTCAGGTCCTCCTGACTTCAGGGCCAGTGCTCTATCCACTGCGCCATCTAGCTACCCCAAAGGCAAAGATTTTTAAGTAGCTCATAGCATATGTTTTTTTTTTTCTGCAACACACTTACAGTTTGCCATTATCAATACTGTTCATAAGGAGAGTAATACCAAAATGCAGAATGCTGCATGTCATAACAAAAGTCAAACCTTAAAATTGCTCTGCAATACTTTCTGTAAAAAAACACATAAACAAATTCTATTTATAACATAATTTATGAAATCTGGAGCCAGGATTCTTTCTAATTGAAAAATGAATGAGTTGATCAAGTTTTAATCATTTTTATTATTTTCAAATAGCCCTAACCTTCCACTAATTCCTAAAAAAATTTTTTTAAGGACTACCGGTCCTGAATCTCTAACTGAAACAAGAACATGTAATGTATGTGATTAATTATAACTTTATGCTTTCATGTGGTAACAGCTTACGATAATGTAGCTCCCTTCATATGTTAACAGAAAGTCACCATAAAATCCTACTAAAAATAACACAGGATTTAAAAAAGTATCAGGTCAATAGGGAGAAAATGATGTTATGAAGAATTAGCACAGTTGGTAATCTGCATGGATCTGGGCTGCAAAAACTTTCTAGTATCAGTAGAACTGTCTAAATCCTGGTGTTAAGATTTCAAGAGCTGTGCAAATGATTTAGGCAGAACTACTTATCCCAAAACGACATACGTGAGAGTACCTACATGGCAGGTTATGTCCCTTCTGGCTCTATCTCTATATTCCCATTCACACAGTGTAAATATCCTTTTATAGAACACCTATGTTCTTTTTTCTGATTCTTCGCTCACCAAACAACATTCTAATCTAAATTTGGTCTCCTAAATAGACTTGCTCATCAAGAGGGAGCACACTTTACAGATGACCAATACTTATTACCACATTTCCTAGTGCTCCCACTATAAATTATCAACAGGCATTCTTATCTATTAAAATTTCATGGCCTTTAGTTAACAGAAATTGGTTTGTCAGGGTCTGATCACCCCCAGTCAACCAGTTCAGGAGGCTGTAAACCTGAGAAGAGACCCTTCACTGAGGATTCACCATGGCTAAGCCCACCCCAGAGGCCAGCACGGCCAATTTTACCTAAGTACTTCAGAGACTATCAGACAAGAAACAAACACACCCACATACACCCCCGCACACACACCCACACATACCCACTTTAAGCTTGGCTAAAGTGTTAACATGAGTATCTAAGACTCAAGAGTTCACAAGGGAGAAGCAAGTGGTCCAAGGATATAAACAGAGAGCTCTCAAAAGATTTTAGATCTATTAAATCACTAATAAAGAGGACTAGAAATCAAAACAAGGCTTCATCTCACACACATTATGTTGTCAAGGATAACCAAGGGCAAAATGTAAGCATTGGAAAGAGGAGGCTGGCACACTAATACAGTTAATAGAGCCAACAGTGACTAAAAATGTCCAAACCCTTTGAACCAGAGATCCAACAAGGCATATACCCCAAGGAGGTCAAGAACAGAAAGAAAGATTCCCAAACTCTTGAGAGCAGCACTTTTTGTGGCAACAGAGAACTGAAAACAAAGTGAATGCACAATGGGTAGGGCTTAACAACTTGTGGCACCTAAATGCAATGGAATATTACTGTCTTAAGAAAAGATAAATGAGGAATTCACAAAAGCATGGGAAGACTTATTTGAACAGATACAAAGCAGAACCATGAAAACCAATATGAACAATGACTTCAAGAATTTTAAGCAAAAAATAAACTGAATGCTGCATAATAATGATCAAGCTTGGAGCATTGTACCCTTTTCCTTTTTTTTTTTTTGAAGTAGGAGACCATGTGTATGAAATGTGCATATAATATCAGACAAGGTGTACATGTTGTACAGGTTAATTAACTTTTTTTTCTTTCTGTTACAACAGAAAGATCACCAAGCAGAGGTACAGAGAAGAGTATTTTGGGAAATGATATATTAAAAAAGGCAGCAGAAAAATAAGACATGATAAATTAAATTATAAATAAAGCTCTTCAATCTAATAAAGCTCTTCAATCTAATAATTTGTATCTCCTTTGTCTTCTACCATTACAAGTATTAACCAGCACAAACAAGTTTCCATGTTTTGATGCTATTATCATGCTACTTTCCACGTTTCATCAGAACATCAGCGTAGTTTTGTTCCCACAACCCCAAAACTCTGCATGTACTGTAGTAAAAAGAAATCATAAAAATATCTCCAAAATGTAGCACATGACAGAAGCAACATACATTCTTATATTCTAAGACAGAGAATTCCTTTTTATTAGAACTATGGTGTTTTCATAGGTCTTTATTATACAGGTTAACATTAAACTTACTTTGTAACCCTTTTGACTTGATTCTTTTAAAAAAATTTTTTGACTTGATTTTTAAAAAAGATTTCCACAAGCATGCAACTCAGTGATCCAAATCAACCATTAATCCATTATTTATCTTCAATGATATCCTTATGTCCTGCTTTGATGCCTCATTATGGCAAGAAGGTGAACCTGGGTTCATGAACTCTATGTACTATTAGAGTGCAAGCTCTAGCAGGTCCAACTAACCTGGAAATGACTCAATTATGGGGAGATTAAGTTTGTTGCCTAGTTAAGGTCAGAGAGACTCATAACTAGGTTGCAAATATAGGGACAGACACTCAACTCTCAAACACTCTGCTAACCTAAGAATCTGCTAAACGAGAAGGGCTGCAATCTTCAATGGTGAAAGGACCCATTTCACTGAGATTAAAGATATTTTACATACTAAAGCTATTTTCCTACTCACAAAAGTCTAAGTTACCACACATCCACTGAATTAAAGGAAAAACTTCATGTGACTGTGTCCACTAGGTGGAGACACAGATTAGTTTAATTACAACATAAAAACATCATTCACATCATTAAGCTGCTTTGATAATTTGCTAGTTTATCAAGTAATCACTTATCTAAACATAAGCCTTTTATCAGATATCATATTAATCATTATTTTAACTCCAATTAGATTATACCTATAAACACATTTCAGAATGTTTTTTATAAAAGTTGAAGTAACAGTTCTAAAAGAATCTCCCTATAAAAGTTATTTACCAACCATGACAGAAGCCCCACCTCACTCTTACCAACCTGAATGAGTACGCATATGTCTAGTTAAATGTGTCTTCTGTGAGCTGGAATAGGGACACATAGCACACTGATATGGGCGTTCACCTGCAATAAATCAGTCATAAATTAGAAATGTCAATAAAGGCAAAATACATAGAAAATTCATCACTTGCTGACAAAATACATAGAATATTCATCACCGTCTATGCCCAGGCAAAACACAAATGATACACTGATGTGACTAGTAAACTATTAGGGTTACTAGAATCTTCTTTGATTCAACTTAGCATCTGCATATTTCAGCTTTGAAATCACAACAAATTTTAAAGTTGAGTACAATAAAAAAGATCATCCTTCAAAATGCTCTCCAGCCCTCTTCATACTTTAAGTATCTAATAATAACTCATCTGGTAGTAAGTTATAGAGCAACATAAATTAAAAAGTAGTCTGCCACAGTGTGGAACTTAATTTCTATTTTTTAAATATAATTATTTTTAAAAATCTGATTTTGACCAGGCCTATATCTATGAGTAACAATTATTCAGGCAATTTCTTTTCTTCTTCTTTCTTTTTCTTTTTTACTACCTACCTCAGAGTTATTGTGAGGAAGGTGCTTTTACAAAAGATTAAATTAGTAAATGCAGGACTTGGGAATCAGAATATATAGGCTCAATTTCTACTTATGGTCTTTGACCCTAGGCAAGTCACATAACCTTCATGAACTTAGTTTCCTCATAATATCCCCATCAAATAGGAATATTAACACTTGCATAATTTACCTCAAAGGGTTACTGTGAGGATAAAGCCAAGAGAAAGTACAGAGTATGCCAAAAACTTAGCTTCATTATTAAAGCTTAAAGCTGCACTGAGACTTTTGGGACATGTACTCATGAAGTGCACTGCAAAGCTTCATAAGCCATAATATGAGCTCTTATACAAGTACTATTTTTCTTAGCTAGCAGTTTTAACAACTTTATGAGATAAATTAGTATTAACAACCATTTTATAGATAAGACTAATAAAATTTTTAAGTTAATGTATATAGATTATTTCAAGATGACTCGGAAGGCAACAATGGATGAAAAGCTCCAATGCCAGTTCTGCCACAGTGTGTGACCTTAGAGCATTTAAGATCCCTAGGCCTTAATTTTATCACCTATTAAGTCACGGATGTTTTCTAAGAAGCCTTCAAACTATTCTTCTATCACTGACTAAGAAGGCCAGGGCAGGCAGGAACACAACAAGAAGAGAATTTTGGTTTTTTATGACTTCTATTGTTGGACCTGTCTTCCAATTTGCTATAACTCCACAAGTCTATGAGTTCAAGGGGCAAAGGAGACGATAAACAGTTCCAATAACTCCACTCCTACCTCCATTTAGGAAAAGGTAAAACAGAAGAGCATCTGTTCAACTCGAATCTTTCTACTACCACCTTTTGCTCACTAGGCACAGCATTTCTCATTGAAAGACATAGCCTAGTGTAGCTAGCTTAATGTTAGGAAGACTTGGGTTCAAATCCCACTTACAAGCTATGTGACCCTGAGAGCAAATCATCTAACCTCTTTATGCCTCAGTTTCTTCATCTATAAAAGTGAGGAATTTGGCTTCTAAGGTCCCTTCCAGCTCTAAATGCATGTCCTATGATTCTAGGATTAAAGGCCTGCCCTCCTCTCCATTTTCACCAGGAATGACCATGTCCGACCATCCCTAAAAGCAGTACAACTGTTTAATTAACAAATATTTGTTAGGCACAACCGTGCTGAGGAATACAAATACAAAAAAAGAAATTATTAAAATATACCATAAATGGCTAGAGAGCTGGTTTTGGAGTTTGGAAGACATGAGTTCGTGTTCTGCCTTTGAAAACACTAAGCTGTATGACCATGACAAGTCATTTAATTTCTCAATATTCCAGGCAACTCACTTAAGACAAATTATTTAAGAGTTATGTATCTATGGAGGTAGTTTCACACCAGGAAGCTTCCCTTAACTAATGAAATCACAGGTAAAAACAATCAGAAAGGTTATCTGATATAATGGAAAGATGTATTATTCCATTAGACTTGGAAATATTTCAATTTCTACACTTAAAACCTATTCGACCTTGCGAAAGTTAATTGAGTTCTCTAGGCCTCAAAGTTCCTCATCTGTTTAAAAAGAGAGGTTAAGAGCAAGTCTACTTTAAGGGAAAGTACTTTGTAAAGCTCAAAATACAAATTCAAGTTAGTATTTTGTCCTGAAAAAGTTATAGGGAAGGAGAATAAAAAGCATGGGAGAGCAGAAAAAGAGAGAAAGGAAAATGAACAGGACGAAAATAATAATAATAATTATATATGTAAAAATAAGCTAGGAATGGATGGTTCCATTAATAATGGCTTTGTTTAGTGGCAACAATGCCAGAGGAACTTTGGTTTGGAGACATTTTAAAATAATGGCAGATTTTATCAGGGAAAAACACTTATGGATTAACATGAATAACAAATGAAGCTGTCTATAGACTATGGATGTTGATGATGCGACTGCTAACTAGACTTAAGGGGTAGTAATAAGCTGATTTTCAATCAAAAACATTCTCCCATGGTTGAAAATGTCTCTTGGAGAGAATTTGTGAACTTGTACAACATGGGGGTGGGGAATAGTATATCCTCCAATCAGCTTGCTCTTTATCATCCACTAAACTTACATGTAAATAACAAAGCAATAAAATGGAGGGAATGGATTAAACTGGCAGTTTAAAAAGAGATGGACAAATTGCCAGAAAGAATCTAGGCAAGTATTCTGCCATTTTCCAATTCCAAGAACTGATTAAATTACAGAGGCTTTCCACATCAAACAACAATTTAAAAAGTATCTATTAGGATTTTAGGGGTACTTAAAATGTGACTTCCCAAAATATTGGAAAGGTAGATGAGAGACAAGCATTATTCCTTTTTTAGAGATTAAAAACTTCAAAAATAAGGGGCAGCTAGGTGGCACAGTGGATAGAGCGCCAGCCCTGAAGTCAGGAGGACCTGAGCTCAAATTTGACCTCAAACCAAACACTTGACATTTACCAGCTGTGTGTGACCCTGGGCAAGTCACTTAACCCCAAATGCCTAATAAAAAAAAAAAACTTTAAAAATAAAAAGAATCTCCAAAGATAATCAGAAATATGGCAGTAGTGAAACTTGAATATGATCCATGATAAACTCCACTGACCTTCAGAAGTCTAATGATTGATCATCAATACTAAAAACATAAATGATATAGTACTATAATAAAAAACATACAAAATATATGATTATTAATCCCAGTAATATAAAATTTAAATGGTTTTGATAGCTGTGCCTCTAACTACATAGCAGTCCCATTCCAAAACTACCAATTACAACAATCTCAAAAGATCCTAGGTAACAGTAAAAAAAAAAAAAATCAACGGATCTTCTAAATGGGATAAAATGGAACCAAATAGATTTAAAAATAAACTAGTAGACAAAATGCTATGTAAATACTAACTATCAAGTACTTCTAAACCAACTAGGCTACTCACCAATTCTTACCCTACAAAATATTACCACTACTACTAACATCTTAGCTTCTCATGTCCAGCTTTAAAACTTCAACTGAATGCTACCTCTTCAATGAAGTCTTTCCCAAAAGGAGAATCATTTCTGTCCTGCTGAGCACATTCACAGGAAAAAAAAAATCACATTCCTTCTTTTGTCTCATAGCTATGTCCTCAGTAGACTATAAGTTCCTTGAGGGCACAGACTCTACACTTTAGGAGGTACAGGGAAAAGCAGTAGCTCTGTGAGTCAGAGAACGTGAGTTTAAATGGCCATCTCTGATGCAAAACAACTGATTTGGCAAGTCCCTTAACCTCCTCGGGACCCATCATCCTCATCTGTAAAACGGGGAGGGTGAAGAGTATGGGGAGGGGTGTCAGATTAAATGACTTCTGGGGTGTTTCCAGCTCTAAACCTATGATCCTCAATTATATATCTCTCCCATTTCTTTGTCTGGCATGAAGGAATTTAATGTTTAACAATTTAATGTAAAACAAATTAAGAGCAACATTAATTAAGAGCAATATTACAATGAGCTGTTAGATAGATCTTCAATCATCCTTTAAACCAATCTATTGTTTAAAATCTTTCAATGGAATGCATTTCTTAAGATTTGAACACTAAAAATTAATATAGCATACCATGAATAGGTAGGATCAATTTCTCCAGCTATTCATCCATCAAGTTTCCAAAAGTATTTCAAGGTATTTGGCAGGCCCTTCCAATCCTTCCCTCATTTTTCTTATGATACCTTTTTAAAGTCATATCCTGGATATATCCTCCCCCCAACTTAAGAAAAACAGTTAAGGTTATACAACATTCCACACCCAAAATAAAGAAAGATGTTTTATCCTGTTCCTTCCAATACAATTTAAATTAAAATTCTCAATTACCTTTTATATACAAAGAAAATGGAAAAACTTGTTAGGATGTTAGTATGCCTTTTTCATCTTTTTCCACATTTCCCCCCATGTTCTACTATTTCTCAGTCCTTCTCCTCAGAAGGCATTTTCTACTCAAGTTTTTCTTCTAGACACTAGAAAATGTACCAAGCTGGAAAATACAAGATCTGGAAGATCTTATTTAACTAAGGCCAGTTTGTATTCAAATAAGCAGTCCACAAGTCTAAGAAATTCAACCAACTATTGAACCGGCTGCAAATCCTGAACTGGGAAGAAAATCATATCTAATAAGTTTGGGCTATGACTAGTCAAAGTTTAATGAAGATTCAATTACAGATTCAGACAATAGATGTCACTGACATCAAGTGCTAAGCAAATTTTATGACGTGGTTAAGAAAACCATGAGCTGATCAATCCTCCCTGCTTCCAACTTACTGGCAACCTGAATTAATAATAATACTAACATTCTGCAGCACTACTCAGAATTCCTTCTTAGAGAATGTATTTTAATTTAAACTGTCACCTAGATAATGTATCAACTAGGCAAACTTGATTGTGCTGAAGTAGATAGAGCACTGGGCCTGGAATCAGAAAAACCTGAGTTCAAATATGACCCCAAACACTAACTAGCAGTGGGGACTCTGGGCAAGTCACCTAACTTCTCTTTGCCTCAGTTTCCTCATCTGTAAAATGGGGATAATTATAGCACCTACCTCCCAGGGTTATCGTGAGGATCAAATGAAATAATTGTAAAGCACTAAGCACAGTGTCTGGCAAAGAGTAAGCACTACATAAATGTTGGCTATTATTATTTCACTGATGAGTAAGTTTTTGATTAATTCTTTTAAAAATATATTGTACAGTTACTAAAATAAGCCAATCCAAAAAGTTCTGAAATGCACTGATTCCTATTTACAAGACTAAATTTTTCTTAAGTTACATTAAAATTAATTAACTAAACTGGCTCATGATTAAAGTAGCTAAAAAGCCACAAAATGGATAAAATATCCAAAAATCATCCATCGCAAATTATAGGGCACACTCCATTCATTACATAATTCACGAACCAATCCTAATGATTTTCCTATACTGAAGTAAAAGTTAGCAAGGTATAGAAGCTCAATTCAATATGGTTCTAAGTGCGTTATATGCAAAAAAAACTGTAAAAGCATAGAGAGAACATAGGAATTGGAATCCAGAAGACCTGGGGTCCAGTATCAGTTCTGACATTTGTGCAACTGGACAAATCAAGTCACTTTACCACTAAGAAGCTCATGCCCCCCCTTCTATCTTCTTAAGGAGGACACATCTGACCTTATCCCTATCCCACAGTTACTATTATTCATAGGATGTCTTCAAACCACTGAAAAAAAATCTCATTCCCAAATAAGTTTGCAGGGAGTTAATTGCTGAAGACTGTAATATTCATGAATAGGTAAGAATTTATTTGGTATTTATTTTTACTTAAATTGACCAACTCACTAGGCAGATTCTGTCTTTCCTAAACTGATGTAAAATAATGAGAGGCTTCTCCTTTGACAGCTATACTAACTAATGCTGAAGGTTACCTTTGCACCATCTAAAAAGGAGGGGTGCTCAATTTACACTAAAGAAAATGAATGGTCTAAAAGAGATTTCTAGAAGAATGCCAAATGTTAAAGAAGAAAAAATTAAGCATCACAGGTAGACTTTCATATAATTAAATTTACAGCATGCAAAAAGATTGTTAGCATTCAGTTTACATTATTGCTTGTACTTGAGAGTAAAACGGAATTTTTAATTTTGTTCAAAGTCCTTCAATACAGCCTACTTCTTCCAATTAGTCTTGACTAATAAGGTTTTATTTTACATTCCAAAGTTCATTAGTGCAAACAGCACTAACTCTAAAAGATAGGTATCTATCTAGATGAGGCTCTTCTCTTCACAGATGAGCATATAAAGAAAAGATCAAGACACTTGTCCAGGTTAAACACAGTGAGCTGGGGCAAAACCAGGACTAGACAAAAGGTTCCCTGGCTCCCACAAAGGAAAGACAACACATGGAATGGGGAAAAAAACAAAACGCTCTTACCAGTATGTGTTCGAATATGTTGAATGTAATTGTTTTTCCTGTCTGAAAAGTAGGAGCATTGGGAGCAGGTATACACTTTCTTAGGAAAATGGTTTCGCAAGTGTTTCTTCCAATGATATTCGCTTACAGTGGTGTATGTGCATAACATGCACTTATAGACTCGCTCATTCTCTCCTGCTTTGTTGTGGTGCTTCAAGTGAGCCAAATAGTGATCATATCTGTTAGTATTATAGCCACATCGGTCGCATCGGATAGGCCCCTTGGAGAAATCCGCTTCTTCAGCAACAGACGACTCGGACTCCTTGGTCTGCGCTTGTTGTGCTTGTTTCTCTGCATTTTCCTCTGCAAAAAACTTATTGGCGCTGTGGACTCTGATGTGATGGACAAACTCTTCCTCAGACTCTGCTTCATACTGACAAGGTTTGCAGCGAAAGGGCTTGCTCTTCAAGCTCTTGCATTTGTCCTCAGGAGTCTCTGGCTGATAGGGTGTCTCTGAGGGAGGGTCTTTTTCTGAATTAAAAGTCTCTGGAACAGATGATCCATACACAGTCTGAGGGTCAACAACGATGATTTCCAAAGACCCCAATTCCATGTTTTCAGGTCTATTTGACTCACTTTCTATTCCAGAAGCCCCTTCAAGTCCCTCCCCATCACTGTCTGAGAAGTTGTTGTCTCCCACTGTGGTCAACTCTGCCATTTGTCTTTCTTCTCCAACCATGTAGTCACAGCAACCACCATTCACTTCCCCAGTCAAGGCCACATTTGCCAACATAATCAGCTGAGGTGCTGCCAGCTCAGCTTTGGAGAGGTCGTGTAAGTCGTACATGTCGTTAGGCAATGCCATGACGATGTTGGCATTCCCAGTGAAAAGCCCGTTGCCTCCAGTCTGACCCAGCACTTGAGTGGCCATAACAGCAGCTCTATAAGCAAAGACCAAAATAACTAAAATCAAACATGTGAGAAGAAATGTAATTTTAAGGTCTAAAACTGAAGTAACCTACTTCTGCTTTAAAGTCATCTTGCCTTTCCCAGACGTTTAAATTAGCTCTTCAAATGTATTAACACTTTTCAATTTTAATTTATGAGCTTTAAAAGCTCTAAAGTTCTCTGAAAATCTTAATCCAAGGCCACCATTGAACAGTGGACATGACCTTGAGTTTTCAAAGTCCATACTAGCAAAATGCAGCTCCAGAAGACTTTACAACAAGCTGAAAGCTTCCTAGAAGCAGAAGATGGGCCAACCTAGATAAATTCAGAGATGTTCACCTTTCAAAGCACCATCTACAACATGGCTTTTGGCTATAGCAATTCATAACAAGTCTAGTCAGAGGGAATGTTATCTGCACCAGACCAATAAAACCACTTATCTTTTGAAGTACTGAAATCAAGAGAACTTGAAATAATTTTAAATGCTGTTTAAAAATACTTTAAATCACAATTCTTTTTTTTACTATATCCCAAACAAAAATTTTTTGATCATTTCTTCAAAAAAATGTTAATTTCAATAATGTTACCAACCAAGTTTAGTCTATGTCCAATATATATTTATTTGATTTATTCCTGTCTTTTCTTCACTCCACCCCTTCTGAATTTCAGGTGGAAAAAGTTTACAAGTTACAATTCTTCAGTTTTGCTTAGATCTTATTTTGTCCCATTCTTTACAGTTTTTTAGGTATGTAGTTCCACTTCATAGAATTATCAGAACATTTCAATAACCTTGTAGAGTTCTCTCCTCCCCTTCACACCCCTCTACATTTCATTTGTCTCATGAATCAGAAAGCTTTGAGGCCGCTGAAAGCCATGCTGTGCATTCATTATATACACACAGACAAGTCTGGAAAGTGGAAGACTGTGATAATTGGTCAACTTAATTGAATTTCATATGAACTCAATCACTAATTCCAGATGACTAACCTATTGTGAAAAGGACCATCTAGTTTGTTTTAATTTCTAAAGGCTCCCATTGGTCCAAAAAAAAAAAAAAAAAAGTTAATGGCCCCAATTCCTATGAAAGGAGTGTTATATTGATTGGCTAAAAACCTCATGGACGAAAAAACAACCGTGAATTTCACTTCTGGGAGGGGCAGGAGCCAACAGGACCAGGAGTAACTTTTTTTTTTTGCATGCTGGATTTGGCCTACTTGCCTGGAAGCCATTACAGCATAATCACCTTCAAGAAAGCAAGTTGGCCTTAGAGGGTCTGGCTGTCCTCCTTCCACAAACCTCAACATGCCCTGCCTTCTTTAACTATCACCTCAATTTCTGAGAAAAACAAAGGTCGAGCAGGGAAACGCCGTTCAGAACTCAGAAGCCCGAGCTGGGGGCACCCAAGTAACCAATTTCCTCCAAGTGTCCAAACAAAAGCCAGTTTCGTTAAGCACCCACAAACTCGGAAGAGTTTTCTAATCAAAATACCAACACAGGGAAACCCCACCTCGCCCGCATCCGTCTAGATTCCTCCGTCGCTCCCTAAGAGCCTACATTTTCTACTTTTTCCTCCAAACCAAACTCTGAACTTTTAAGAATGGGGGAGGGGGGCTCCCCATCGAGCAAGGCCAGAAACGGAGCGCTGCAAGCCCGGGAGGCTGCAGACATTCCTCCGTGCTGCTGCTGCTGCTGCTGCAGCCGCTGCCTCGGCGGCTGCTCCTGCCGCCGCTGCATTCCTGCCTGAAATAGGCATTCGGCCATTTTCTCAAAATACCCAACACAAAGCAGCTCTTTGCAAACTCCGGGGCTCCGTCCTCCTCTCCCCCTCCTTCTCTCCCAACATGCCGACAAACTAGATGGCGATTTCCCCAAAGCCTGGCCTCGAGGCTTTGGGTGGACCCCCAAACCCTGCCTCGGCTCGGGCCCCAAGTCCCGGGCCATTCCCCTTCTACCCAAGACCCTCTCCCCATACTTCCTTCCCCTCGACCCCGCGCCCCCTGGGATGTGGAAGTTGGAGGAAGAGGGAGAAGCGGAGAGTCAGTTTTACCAGGTCTTTTTGGACTTGGGCTTCTGCAGTCTCCCACCTTCGGCTTCCCCAAGAATCCTCCTCCCCTCGTGGGTGGAGGCGAAGGCCGGCAGGGGTGGGGGGGGGTGGCGAGCTGCCCAGCTCTGGCCTTCGCGCCTCCGGGAAAAACGTTTAATAAAGTGGGAGAGGAAGCAGCCCCCCGAGGGTCGAGCGGGTCTCCCCCACCCACGCCGGCCGGGCCCGCCCGCCCTCCAGCCTCTCCCTCCGGAAGTTTCTGAACTTCACTCCCCCGCCCCTCGCACGGCCCGGCGTCGGGAGAGATGGGCGGCCGGGCCGGGCCGGGCCCAAGGCGGCCCCAGGCTGGCTACGTGCGCCCTGCCCTGGGCCGCGCCGCGCTGAGCGGAACCTCGCGGCCGGCGGAGATGGTGCTGCCGCGGACAGCCCGAGCGCGGCGGGGGAGGGCGGGAGGGAAGGAGCGGCGGCCGCCCGAGCAGCAGAAATCGCTGTCCAGCCTCATTGGCGGAGGCGCCCGGGCCCCTCGGCTGACTCAACCCGTCCGCTCCCCGAATCAACAGCGCCTTCCGGCCGGGGGGGAGCGGCTCGGCCGAGCCGGGCAGGAGGGGCTGGGTGGGGAGCGGGGAGGCCGCGAGCTTGGGGAGGAGGGGCGGCGGCGCGGGGCCTAGGAGTGTGTGGGTATGCGCGAGCCAGCCAGGGCCAGGCGAGTCCCCGCGCCGCGAGGGTCCCCCAGGAGAAGAGAGCGAGAAGGGAGGACGGGCGTGCGCTGGGCCAGCGGCAGGAAGTTTGTTTCAGGACTAGAGAACGGAGCAGCTCCGCTAGCCCTCGAGGTGGCAAGGTGCGCCCCGACTGCCCCGGGTTTCGGAGCGCGGAAGAGGAGAGAAACCGAGTCACCTGGAGAAGGGGAGTCTGGTCCGAACGCCCCGCTCCGCAGCCGTCCTCCAGGACCCCAAACACCACCCCACCCCCCAACCTCCGCGACGCTGTCCCTCCTCCTCCTCCCCCGCTCTTCGAGCCTGGCTCCTTTCCTCCCTCCCTCCCAGCCGCGGGGGTGTAACCCGATCCCGCTCCTCGGCCTCACCCCGCCCGGGGCCGCTGCTGCCTGAGCCGCAATATCTGCAAATCAGCCCTGGACAGCGCCTCTCTCTCCTCCTCCTTCCTCTCCCCCACGCCGCCGCCGCCGCCGCCGCCGAGCAGCCAGCCTACCTGAACCCTCACCCCCTCCCCAGCCGCGGCTCCTTCCGGCTGGGGCCCGGGGTGTGGGGGGGAGGGGGAGCGGACTTACCGGGGCTCCCGAGGGGAGGGGGGAAGGGGCGCAGCACGTGCGCGTCCTCCTTTTGCTTTTCTTTGTTGAATGGAGTTTCAGAAATTGTTCGCAGGAGGAAAAAAAAAAAGTTACCAACGAGTAAAGTTGGGGTTAAGGCCACGGGGGCTGGAAGAGGCCCCGGAGAGCCCGGCTGCAGGTGGTTCTCACGCTGCGAAGGCTTCTCCGGCAGCTCTTGCCTCCTCTGGGACCTAGTGCGGGGCCCGAAGGAGCAGCGGGGACGCCTGAGCGGGAGTCTCCGGGTACAGTGCTCCAGGCTGCTGCGCCGCGCGGCCGCCGGATCCGCACATTCCAACACAGGAGGCAACGCGGCGCAACCCTCCCGCGCCGCCGCCGCCGCCGCCGCCGCCGCCGCCTCCAGCGCGACACGCCCCCTCCACCTCCTCGCGCGCGGCCCCGAAGCCGAGAGGCGCGCGCCCCCAGAGCGGCGCGCCCCCGCGCCGCGCGCCCCGCCTCCCAGCACGTCCTGTGGGCGCCTCGGCAGCCGCCGAGGTCCGGCCCGGATCCCGAGCTCCGGCAGGCGCCCTTCAGGCCCTTCACCTTGTTCGCCAAGCGAAAGAGCCCTTGCCGGCCACCTTCACTTTCCCGGGGTCCGGGAAGGGCTCTTTGGCGCTCGAGATCGGGGTACCAGGGGAGAAGTGGATCAAGCACATGGTGGCACCTGGGGGATCGTCACGGGGTCTGGACCGCACTGTCCGGATCGCTCTTATTTTTATTTCCTGTGGGTCCAAAGAGAAGAGATTAGGAAATAAAGTTAGTTGGCACCAAGGGGGAGTGCCTCTTCTCCCTTTTTTCGGAAGTAAAGTAGTTCAGACTTGGGTTTGAGTTCAGCTAATTAACGTCTGAACAAGGGCAAGCCACTCCATCTTTGGGAGCTACAGTTTCCTCGTTTGTAAAATGAGTAGAACAGCTTTCTTCAGGGGAGTTGTTCAGGAAAATGCAGAAGTGCCACAGGAACGAGCACTGCTCAGGACAGCTCTCTTCGGTTACCTTGTACGGTTTTTTACCTTGTCATCGGTTGCCTATCCAAGTACAGGTAAGCACCTAGGACAGGAACTTTCTTGTTCCTTTGTAGCCAACCACCTGAACAGAGAGTGTCCTTAATAATATATGTGAAAGCAATTGTGCTTCCAACTCTAAGTACAAAAAAAAAGTGCAAAGAAAACAAAGTTGTGCTTGGATATTAATTTGTATTGGGGATGGAGAGAAAAGAATCAAAGATAACACTGAGGTTTCCAGGTTGAGTTATTGGGAAAATCATAACAGTCATAGACTTGGAACGTAGGAGGTCACTCTGTTCTAACCCATTCATTTTACAAAGGAGGAAACAATGAATGAATAGCATTTCTTAAGCTCTTAACTGTATTTATGCCCAGGACTGTATTACTTGTGCATACAAATAGCCAGTGCTAGACAGTCCCTGATTATCGAGGAGCTTCCGTTCTAATGGAGATGACACTTAGGGAGTGGTGACCAGGGAAGGAAGTTTTGGTCTGAACAGTCACAAAGATGGTAAATGGAAACAATCGGGCGGTCTGTTAACCCATCACTCAGGAGGTAATGGCAGTGGTGATTTGACTGCGGTTCTCAAAGGAAGGGGAGGTGGTGGAAGGTACTCACTGAAGACAAAAAAAGGTTAAGTGTCTAATCCAAGGTCACAAGGGTCGCAAGAGCCAGAATTCTATTGCAGGACCTCCCAACTCCACAAGTAAAACTCTTTGCACTTTTTTGCCTACTGGCCAAAATAGGCTGGGAGCAGGGATGGTTTTGGAAGAAAAATGATGAATTCCACTTAAGTTTAGCATCCAAGTAGAAATTTAAGTCAGTCAGTAAAAGTGCCTTGTACGTGCCAAGCACTGTGCTTAGTGCTGGGGATACAAAAAAGAGGCCAGAGTCCCTGTCCTCAAAGAGCTTACAAACTAATGGAGGAGACAACGTGCAAATAAATATATACAAAGCAAACCAAATTCAGGATAAAAAGGAAATAATTAACAGAGGGAAAGGCACTGTAATTAATCAGGGTTGGGGAAGGCTTCCTGTAGAAAGTAGGAATTTACTTGGGACCTAAAGGAAGCCAGGGAAGTCAGTAGTGGAGCAGGGTTGTGTTCAGGCATGACAGACAGCTATAGAAAATGCCTTTGAGGAGTACAGAAATGGAGTGTCTTGTTGGTAGAACTAGCAGGCCAGTCACTGGAAGGAAGCATATGAGTCTCAGAGTAAGGTGTAGGAAGATTGGAAAGCTAAGAGGTGGGTGGGTCATGAAGGGCTTTGAATGCCAAACAGCATTTTGTATTTGATCCTGGATAACAGGAAGCCACTGGAGTTTATTGAGTTGGTAGGGTGACATGATCGGACCTGTGCTTTAGGAAAATCACTTTAGTGGCTGAATGGAAGATGGGTTGGAATGGAGAACAGGCTTGAGGCATGCAGATGCCTACAGGCTATTGCAATAATCCTGGCATGAGGTGATGATAAGGGGCCTGAACAAGCACGCTATATACAAAATTGTGTATGTACATTTGTACATATACATATACACTCAGATACATATATTTTACCTGTTTCTTTCCTGTCACCCCAATATTGCTCAAAGCTCCCCTTTCAACCTATTAACATGTTGCAACTCAACTGTTCTGAACTGCAAGAACCACCTGGCAGCCAATACAGGGAACTGTCTGACCCCAATGTCTTCCTTTCCCTCTCTCCCACAACTGCCACCTCTATCCTGGCCCCTCAGGTGAACTGTGTGCACAGCAGGATCCCCCTTTTTCCTATAATTCACTAATCTAGTCAATGTGAAATAGTAGAAATGACACTGGACTTGGAATCAAGAGACTTGAATTTATATTTATTCAATATTCTCTCCCCCTTTAAATGCAAGTTACTTGAGAATAGACATTGTTTCATTCTTTGTATCCGTATCCCTAATACCCGGCACATAATAGGCACTTACTAAATGCTTGTTGATTGATTAATAGGCATTTCAAACTCAAGATGTCCTAAACAGAACTAAAATCCTGCCTTAAACATTTACTAGCTCTGTGACTCCAGGCTAGTTACTTCATCTCTCGGTTTCCTCATCTGTAAAATAAATTAGTGGGGCTAGATGGCATTGCAGCTCTGGATCTATGGTCCTAAAATTCTATGATCTTTCTCCACCAAACCCACTACATTCCCTTTATCTCTTAAGGGAAATCATCCTGCCATGCACCCAACTTTACAACCTCAGTGTCATTCTCCACTCTTCATTCTCCTTTACTTCAGCATGCTAAATCAATTGCCAAGTCTTTTCTTACCTATTATCTTCTATTTATATACATTTTTAATTTACTTGACAGGTCAGGCCTTAATTATCTCAAATTTGTACTTTCACAGTGGCCTCCTAATTGAGCTCTCTGCCTCCAGTGTCTCCCCTATCCATCCATCCGTCTGTCTATCTGTCCATCTGTCCATCCTCTACTACACACAGATGCCAAAGTGATATTCCTAAATGTCTGATTCCTGCTCAAAGGGCTCACCACTTCTTATCAAAACACAGAGTAGGGGCAGCAGTGGATAGAGCACCAGCCCTGAAGTCAGGACGACCTGAGGTTCAAAGCTGGCCTCAGACCAAACACTTGACACTCACTAGCTGTGTGACCCTAGGCAAGTCAACTTAACCCCAATTGCCTAAAAAAACAGAACAACAACAACAAAAATAAAGCAACAAAACACACAGTACTCAGCTTGTCACTTAATGCGCTTCTCAATGTGACTCCATACCTACCATTCAAGACCAGTTTCATGTTTTTCCCTCTCATTCATTCTTCATTCCAACGAGACTCTTAGTTGCTGTTCCCATATCTGAGATTTGTGCACTTTTGTGCACAGACTTCTTCCTCATTTCTGCTTCTTTAAAACAAGCCATAATAAAGGTCTAAGGCTCTAAGTAGTCCTGGTTTGTCTATCTTTTGTGAAAACTTCCCTCATTATTCAGAAAAACCTGGGAAGAGTCATAGAAATTGATAAAGACTTAAGTGAGTAGAATCAGAACAATTTATACAATGACAGCAATATCATAAAGACAACTTTGAAAGACTTAAGAACTCTGATCAATATAATGACCAATTACAATTCCAGCGGATTTATGATGAAACATGCTACCCTTCTCCTGAGAGAGAGGTGAGGGACTCAAAATTCAGAAAAGAGAGAAGGTTGCCTTTTTTTTTTGACATGGCCAATGTGGAAATTTATTTTACTTGACTATACATAGTTATAATAAGGATTTTATTTTTGCTTGTTGAAAAAAACTACATTTGATTTAAAAAATTTATCCCTGTCAAATTTTATGTACTTAGATTTAGCCTAGTGCTCTAGCCTGGGAAAATGTTTTCAAATCCTGATGTCATCTGGTGTGTTTGCCTTGTCCCTTCTAGTTTTGTTCCATCTGCAAATGTGACAAATATACCATCTATACTTTTTTCCAAGTCATTAACACAAACATTTAACAGAACAGGTACATCCACAGGTAGGAACTTTATTAAAGATCTTTCTGAATTGATCTCAAATCTTTGGGAATGGCCATTAACCCAGATTTGAATCTACATAATTGTAACCTAATTGTAATTCATCTCATTCATAAGAATAACATGAAAACATTGTTCAATGCTTTGTTTAAAAAAAAAATAACACCCAACTATGTAAACTGTCTAAAGCAGAGATTCTTAAACTTTTATTTTATCATGGGCTTCTGTGGCAGTCTGTTACAACCTATGAACCCTGATTTGGAATGTTTGTTGCTTTTGTTCATAATTGAACAAAATGTTACATTTCACTTAAAGGTTGATGAAAATAAAGATGTTTTCCCCCCATCCATGACCTTTAGGGAGGGGTAATTCCCAAAGTCTTAATCTCAGATTAAGATCCCCTGAACTAGAGCATTGCCCTGATTTTACAGTCTAGTATCCCGGTCAAAAAAGGAAATTATGTTAGTCCAACATGATCTATTTTTGATGAAGCCATGTTGGTTTTTTGTTGTCACATTTCCTTTTCTAAATTTTCACTGTTGTACAGTTGGGTCTGATTTCTTTCTGACCCTGTGGACCATATCACACCAATACTGTCCCTGGGGTTTTCTTGGCAAGGATACGAGAGTGGTTTACCATTTCCCTTCTCCAGAGATAAACAGAGGTTAGCTGACTTGTCCAGGGTCACACAGCAGGTGTCTAAGGCCAGTTTGAATTCAGGTCTTCCTGATTCCAGGCCCAGCATTCTATCCATTCT